CATTTTATTATCTACCCAGAAAAAGGCTTAACTCTAAAAGTTATTAATACCGTTTGGAAAAATCTTTGTAAAGTATTAAACTGTGACTTATCAGCTATTATAATTCTCAACAAAACGTATTCCTCGAGCAAATTTTGCAACGTTTAGTTGGTGTCACCCCACCCCCCGTGATAGCTTTAAACAGTGCACAGATACTACTAACGATGTTCATGTATAGTCGATTATACATAAAGCTGGATGTATCATTAATTTCGCAAGCAGATTTACGTCATGGTATCTCCACCCCCCCCCTTTCGGGATTTATGAACTTAGTTCTTAATTAAAATACTTTGAACTCTAATTATTCATTTTTTAAATGGAATGATCTATAAATATTTAGCTATTTTTGCATTGGTGTCACCCCTCCCAAATGGTGTCACCCGGTGCGATCCGCACCTCCCGAAAGCCCCCCCCCCCCACCCTCGTTACGCCTCTGGACCATGTTATTATCATTTTTAATGCTGCAAACTGTGCACATTGAGTTGTAGTGTAGTCTTCAGACCTTCAGCATGTTACTATTAAGTTTACTCATTACAGTTACTGTACTAGCTATTGAAATCTTATAATTACTTGAAGTGCTCATCCTACCTGTGACTCCGTTTAAGTGGCAGTAGTTATTCATATTATTTCATCTAGGGCCTACACAAATTAATTTGGAACTATTCTTTCCGTGATTTAGTTCACGTGACAGTCGACTACATATTTTAGTATTCAGTGGCGGAACTAGAAAAAAAGGGCCACCCCGCAAAAAAATGTCTGGGCCCCCCTCCTATATATATATATATATATATATATATATATATATATATATATATATATATATATATATATATATATATATATATATATATATATATATATATATATATATATATATATATATATATATATATATATATATATATATATAAACACAGAACACAAACATTGGATACTCATTTCTGGCCTGATCGGATTTTGAAAAAAAATGACTTTTATTTAAAATTTAAACAAATTACATGTCATGTGAGTGCGTGCATTAGTCTGTTTTGAAATATATATATTTTTTTTTTACATTTAGAACTAGGTTTTTGTTTTTGTTTTTTTAAACTTATATATAGAACTACGTTATTTTTTTTATTTTTTTTTTAATTCAATATTTTTGCTGTAATACAGCCGAAACTAATTTTCAGCCGGTCAAAAAAAAATATAAAACGCGAAAGCTTTGTATGTGTAATGGTTTCTCGTTATATGTTTATTTTTATGTTTTTTTGTATTTATATTATTTGTTTTAAATATATTTCCTTTTTTTGCTATGTAAGTCTTTAGTTAGTATTTTTTTTTAAATAATAATTAAGAGAAGTAATAGCTTTTTAATTTGTTTAGTTCAAATATATTAAAAGGAGCTTATGAGCACCCCTATTTAACTATTTCAAAAAGGGACATAAGTCATGGAAGTGTTTTGAACGTTTGCCTATCTTTCACATTACAGCTCATGCATTTTTTTTACGCAACAGCATGTGTTAGCTACTGTATAACATCACAACCATAATAGATCTGTTTGTTATTTTCAAAAGCTTTTACCGTCAAGTCAAAAATGCAAGACATTTTTTTAAACTATACAAAATGTTTTATTATCGGCTATGGGCCCCTAAATGGCGTGCCCCGCCCCCCCCTGGCGGCACTGTAGTATCCGCCCCTGTTTAGTATACGTAAGTTTATTATCTATTTACCTTTACATCAGTCTATAAGGTAATTGTTACATTACTTAAATAGACAGAGTTTTTTAATTAAGTTAACTCTAGTACTTTATTTTTATATACTAGCTCAGACTACACCTCCTATCTCTGTCTCTACCTTTCGTTAACTAACTACATGTATACATTAACTACACATCGCGGGTGACACAGTGAACATTCAAGGGACGTAACCATGATATACATAATACAATGGACGTAGTACTCACAAGCAAGACATAATGTAACAGTAATGTTGCCTAATATCAGGAAATATATGGACTTCGTAATCGTTGAGTAACTGATACTACGTATATTTTTTTTTAAAAATGGTTTAGTAAATCTAATATACAAAAATCAAAAGGATTTTAGGAGGAGGTGTAGGATTCAAGAGGAGGAAGATTTCACAGATAGAGATTATTTAGGTCCCGCTGAAACAGAAAGCAATGCAATGCAATCTATCGAGTTTTTGTTCCCTTGACAGATACTCTAAACGTAACCGGCTGTATTAATTCCAAAACATCGAGTTTCCCTAAATGGTCCTTTTTTAGGGCCTCAAAAGCTACCCAATCTATTGTGGCTTGGTTCTTTATTATTTTCAAAAATTACATTTTAATATACTTAAAATTACCAACAAACATAAGTAAAAAGTTCCCTTTCAGCACTATGCCCAGCCGCCTTTACTTTCCCTAACGTGAGTTATGTACATATAAGAGCTGGATGGACTCAGTGTCGGTCTACTGACTTGAACCCGGATTCGAACTCGAGACTTACGCGTTAGCAGTTTAGATCTTCATCGTTAGGCCATTCCGACCATACAGAACATATAATTGTGTATAATAAACGAAATTCAGTTTTAACTTAGGATAACTTATTTCTGACGCAAAGGAAAATATTTTGATATGTATATAAAATGGTAATCATGGCGCTTTTTATTAAAGTCAGTTACAATGCAACGCTAAAATAAAAAAGAATAATAAATTACTCCTGTAGCTTCAATTCAGAAATTCTTAAACATTCTTTTTAAATTCCTGATAACAGCAAGCGCTGTTTATCTGTTATTCTGTATCCGTCCTCGCTGGCTCTCATATCAAAGGCTGGAGGTGCGATACATCGGTTGAGGAAGTAAAACCTGAATGAACTTATTAGTCTATTGGTTCACATTGCGAATGTGATAGTGGTTTTAGTTTTAAAGAACAAACAAACTAAAAACATGACAAACAAATAATTATCTTCGCAGAATGCGTGTCCTATCATCTTTTCCAGACAGTGTTCAAGACGTTTAAGTGGATAAGAAGTGTCCGTATGTTTCAATAACCTCATATGTAAATACATTTTGCACGGCTTTTACTCGTACACCAAGTCACGCTGTTGTAGTTTTTTTCGTATCAAAAATATAGTTATCTTCGCACCTACGATGATTATTTTCAAGATAGTGTGGCTAATCTATAATATTTCATTACATATTGTTATCTAGATCAAGATTATAATTTATCATCCGGGATCTCTGATTGCAAAATATATTTATACATCAATCTCTCAAGGCAGGTTCATATGTTGCATTAGTTTTTTCCTTTGTTGATATGAACAAACGTAGAAGATGTTTATTTGAGCTTTACATTATTTTTCTATACGCGAATATGTTGTATGTTAAGCAATGTGTGTTATAAAGTAATGTTGTAGAACTTAAGACAAGATCAAGAGAATGATTGAAGGATTATTTAGTGGCATCTACGATGCGCTTCTTTATATTGCTATAGGTGTAGGAAGCTTCATTGGATTGATTATCCTGGTAAGTCCTGTATATACATTTAGGTTGGGATCAATAATTTATAGTTTTAACTAGACTCTTTATATTACCAATTGCAATCGAAATTTCTAAATAAATAACTTGCTCAGAACTTTGGTTATCAGTTAGCCAAAGCGCAGACCAATTACATGTCTACAATTTAAAAAGCGGCTTTTAACTGATGATATAATAATCAGAAGCCTATATGTATGATATATAGTACTGGTCACAATCAAATGCAATAATACCATACGTTGTTAACAAACTGCATCTTTTAATGGTGTCGTTAACAAAAAAAATTAATGCACATTCATATCTCAGATTTAAAAAAAACTTGCTGTTAGTTAAAATAATTTTTCAAATATTTAGTACGAGCTGACCCGCGACATAGCGTACGCCGCTATTTAGTTTTATTTTCTACCTTTCAGTAATTCAAAATTTGAGAGTTCAACACTGCTAATGCTTCGACTGAATATATTTTGCTTTAAAACACTTTCAGTAGCGCGTGAAGGATGATTATCCTCATCCTCCATCCCCCCTTCCCCCACCCTAGTGACGACAGTATACAGACGACAATGAAAATATCAAGAAGAACTTGTTATTACCTCCCGTTAGTTTCAAACAGTTTCAAAACTAAATTATCTGCTCCTAATATCATTCACTAATTTGACCCGGCTCTACGATTGTAAACCTATGGCGTGAACCACAGCTCAGCAGACTAGTGGGGTTGTGATGGTAGCGATATGGTCTATGGTATGGAGCATGCATGGAGAGCGAAGGAGGGGGGGGTTCAGCGGGTCCCACATGTTTCATCCATGAATAGAATTATATATATATATATATATATATATATATATATATATATAAGGAAGGTTAGGAAAACCAAAACAAATGATAATAACCTGCTAAATAATTATGCTAATTTCGAAAACTTTCTTTAATATATTTTTAGCTATAGTACATTATGTCTGTTTGAATTTTCAGATCTACATTTGTTCCACGAAAGTTGTGGAATACTTTTTTAAATTCATTGGTGCTGTAAGTTTTGAAAAAAAATAGACAAAATTATTTTATATATTTAATATATTATGTTAATTTAAAATGATTTTACAATTTAAAAGAAAATATACTCTTATGTGTGGGAATAAAAAACAACTGGTTAAAAACCTGATTGTTTTTATTTGTCTAGGTTTTGTATATTTCTTTTTGCTGCTGTCTATTTCAACTGGTAAGGCATACATTTTATTTTTTTTATTTAAGTTTTAAATTAGGAAGTGTTATTTAGCGATCAGAAGATTTAAAAAAATTCAACTCAAAAATAATAATTATCAAAAACTCTGTCCATATATTTTTGTAGATCTATTATAATTTATATTTAATTTTGCACTTAGCATTTTAAGAAAAACAATACATGAAGTTTATTGTAAGACCTGGTTTGTTAACAATTACTACAATTACACCAGGGCATAAGCGTCTGCTCTGAGCTAGATTGGAAATGCTGCTGTCGCCGGGTATGTATGTGACGTTGTTGTAATATTTTAATATTTATCACAGTGAAAATCCTTAAGAGCTATGTACACTACTTACGGTATTTTGATTTATTATTATATTTCATTATCGTAAAAAAAGTAAATCAAAGGATTTAAATAACAAGAAGCCTGAAATAATGGTCGAAATAGTATGAATGCAACAATGAAAAAACCGCTGCATTATTTTGGCAAATAAAGATTACCTTTAGAAAAATTAAGAGTTAATAAATTTGGTTTCCAATTGTACAGTAACTATATTTGATTGGTCCTAAACAAAATTATTCTTTCTCCTGTGTTTTAAAAGAAAGATGATGATATTGAATCGAATAGACATAGTCTAGCAAGAGAGGAAACAGTAGCAAGACTTCCATCTATACTAAAAAAACCTAGGGACGACGTACGTTAGCTGTATTTTTACTCTACTAGCATACACTTATTAAGAATCATAGGCTAAATAAGGTAAAAATAATTTAATTTAATAGATAGATGGATATTACTTAGAAATTGAAGCTTAGTTAAATTAGGTGCGAAATTAATGTGCATTTTAAAAACACAGCAGCTACAAAGAGTAAGAAAAAGGCTGAACACAGACCGTGCTCAAAACATTTTAAACTATTTTCAGTACTCGTATCCATCAACATGGCGCCAAAATTATGATTGGGAGAAAAATACTTATCATCCTGCAAATTACAGCGGATATCAGGTAATGTAAACTTTTTTTTTTAGTATTAAATGTATATATATATATATTATAATAAATATATTATATTAAAGGTTAATAATTAAACGCTTTTAATCCTCAATTTCACATAACAGCGTCAGTAATTTAAACTTTTAATTATCGGAGATAACATTTGGTTGAAAAAACAGCTATTTGTAATGTGTACTCAACGTTTTAAAAAAGGGATACAACACCTTCTGTAATTTGCATGTTTTAATTTCCCAAGTTCTTTGAACACACACAAAAACAAACAATAATAACACGATTATAAAAGAAATAATTCTTTAAAATGTATTATACACAGTTTTCAATTAGGTGTGAAAATTAAATCATCTCTAAAAACCGATAATTTAAAAACTGGCGATTTGCAAAATTTGCTAAGTCCACTAATTGAAATAAAAATAGTTTCTCTTATAGCATTCTTTCTTATTTGACAATATTAGAAGTAAACTTATTGTTGTGCTGAAATGTATACATTCCACGTTTAGAGTTAGAGTTAGGGTTATGTGTGATTTTCTAACATACTAAAATAAGATCAACTGTAACTATAAATGCTTTAACTTATTTTTCAGACTATTGGAAGCAGAAAACCTTTTTTTGTCAGCAGAGATAGCCTTTCATCCAGCAGCGAAAGTGAGGATGAAAAATTGTATTATGCTGTTACATATCCGAGGGTATAAATCTATTTTATATATGGTTTTATCTAAATTCGAATTTGTTTCAATACTTAAGTACACATCATTTACGAAAACCTATCACTCAATGTCTAAACGAGAGATGAATAGTATGAAATATAAATACATCCAAACGGATTCTTATTTATTGATATTTATGCTCTTAAAATTTGAAATATTACAAAATGCGAATTCAAATAAAAACAGAAATACCAAGTTCATGTTGACTCTACGACTAATGTAGAATGTTCAAATGGAAGAAATATACAAACAGAAAATAAACCTATGAAAGTAAATTTAACATCAGCTCTTTAAGTCCACAAATCACACAGTTTTACTGACAATGGTGTCTTGTCCAAAGCAGCAGGAGCATAATGTATGTTAAATCCTACTCATACCCTATGGAGTCATTAACTCCGCAGTCACATGAGACTACTGATTGTAGCATTTTGTTTTATACCAATAGCGTTGTGAGATAATTTCAGAGCCTTCACAAAAAATGAACAGAGATTACGATTATGAAATATGCTCATAAAAAAATAACAATGTATGTTTCGTATTTCAGTGTCCAATTTACTTTTTAAACAGTGAGTCATCAGATATTAATCAATACAGAATAGAGTTAATTTTTAGTGCTTAGCTCAAAGTTTGAGAATAAATTAAAGAACATGGTTTACATGATCAATCAGCTGATTGTATCTACGTACGTGTGCTTGTAAATTTTCTATTTTTTTTTGTTCTAGCAGTTTAAATTCTTTTAACTTGGACTCTAACACTGCAAATGTGTTACGTATCCACTATAATAAACCTATATGACAGCATTACATGACATGTTTGTACACCCATTCCCTGAGTGCTTGCTAGTGCGATGTTTCCACTAATCTTCAAATCGATAGTAACAATACAAACAACTTGAGTTGCTTTTGTCAAAAGATCAGGCATGACCTTCTTTAGCACTACATTCCGCCATTTTAAATCCTGTTTTCCAGATGCTAAGAATTATTGTATTTTCTATGCTTGCTGATGGAAAAGCGTGTTAAGTGTATCACATACTGCACGCGGCATTGAAAGGGCAAAGATAGCTTGTTAGAACTGCAGAAAAATAATTTTAGATTATCTAAAAAAAACTATTTATATTATCGCTACTGGGTTTTACTAGTATTAGCACTAATGTCAGTATGATTTACAAAATATTGTAGTTTTATTTGTAAATAGAATTTCGATAACTACACTTTGTGTACAAAAACGTATAAGGAATTTTGCAAACTTATGAAGCAAAGGATAAGTGCAATTCAGGATAACTATTTCTTAGTTTTAGAAATAATTCACAAAACATAAGACATCTACACTTTAATTAAATATTTCTTTTAAATGTTCATCTATATTTACCAAAATAAGGCCCGAGATAATTTGAATTCCATTTCCAATCTTATTATGTAAAGCAATATAAAAACATAACTTCGAGCATAAAGTTTAGATGATATATGCCTGAATAGACATTATGCAAAACAATATTTACATTCAACTTAATTGGGGAATAAATAAGGTCAAATATCATGTGTACAAATACCTACGACGTGTTGAAAGTGGGGAATATTTCTGTCTACTGAGTTTTCTGTTATACGATAATGTAGCCACTGATATTTTTGGCCATAGTAATAAGGTTAAACAATACTAGTACTATATCTTTTGTGTCATATTGTTAAAGACACTGGTTTGGTTTAAGTACTAAGGAAAATTCATAAATTGTATCAAATGTTATTTTAAATGCCATAATTTATTTTCCAGACCCGTGCTAAAACTATTGTCAGCACAAAATGTCTTGCTGACAGCAGAAACAGTATTGATTCCAGCAGCGATAGTGTGGATGAAAAATGGTATTCTGATGTGACAGTTCCAAGGGTAGGCCTATAGATCTACTTTACGTATTGTTTTAACAAAATTCAAATCTTTTCAATTACTTAAGAGCGAATTATCCTCAAAAACTATCTATCAATGTGAAAAAGTGAGATGTATAATGGTTAGTATTTATACACAAACTTATATATATATATATATATATATATATATATATATATATATATATATATATATATATATATATATATATATATATATATATATATATATATACACATATATATATATATATATATATATATATATATATATATATATATATATATATATATATATATAATTTAACTATTTATTGAATTTTTCATAACATAAAATTAGTTTATATTAAGAACTAATGTTTATTCAAATAAAAAAGAAATGCAAAGTTCATATAGAAACTGAAACGGTTGGAGAAAGTTCACGTGGACGAAACTTACAGAGAAAAAATACTCCTTTGAGCGTAAGTTCAACATCAGGACTTCAAGTCCACACATCCCACAGATCTACTGAAAACAGTCTTTCATCCCAATCTGCAATAACACGTGCATGTCGATCTTTGTCCCATAAAAAATCATAATCATATCTGCATTTTTAACTAAATAAGATATGAAGAAGTAAAATATAAAAGAACATATCACTGATTTAATTCTAAAAATACTACTTGTGTAAATGTATAATTACAAATTAAAGCGTATTCAGATAATCAACATTATCAAAACTAAAATACATTTTCTTTGAGGTTAAAGTATGTTACGATTTAATTTTTTATAAGCACTTATAGATTTTAGTATAAAGAAAGTACATGGGAATCTTATGAAAAACGTGTAATTTTATTAGAATCAAAGTGTTGTCGTGAATGTTGAAAATGAAGTTGACGGGAATCTAAAACAAGAAAGACGGACTCGAAAGTCAAGGACGAGATCAAGTGTTAGGTCCCACTCTAGGTACATTTCTTACAAATTCACTTTCTTAGGCGATGGAAAAGTAAATCTTTTGTGTAGACGAATGAACGTTTTTATATAGTACATTTGTCACACTATTTCCTTAGTTGAAACACAAATGACCTTTGATAATTTTTGTCATTAGAAGTAAAAGTAACTCTCAAGTATTGGACTTGCATGAACTTAGGGTGAGGGCGGCTAT